AGGAGTCATGACTAGGAAAAAATGTCAAAAAAAAAAAAGTCTACTTATGGGAGCAAAAATGGAGAAAAAAGATTTGAGAAGCTGCTGGTACTGGCAAGATGGAGGGTGAACTTTCTGGGGCCTGGATTTTGCATCTGATGAGACCAGCAGACCAGAAGGGCACAGGAAGAGAGCAGAAAACTGACTTCCTCAACACACAGTGATGCACCCGACAACATGGGCCCCAGATGGCTCGTCTAGACACAGGCTCCCTGGGGGGCAAATCCCAACTCTGGCACATACAAGCTTAAGACCTTGAACAAGGTGCACAACCTTCCACTCTATGTTCATCTGTAATGTGAGGATGAGAATGTGAGCGTATAGGGTTTGGGAGAAACTACATGAGTCACCTGTGCTAAATGAGAAAACATCTTGTGTCTGGCGCAGAATTATCTTCCAGTCATGTTATCTGGGGGCATTAGTCACTGGGTTTTTCTAGAGGCTCTCACTGTATGTTTGCACCCCACCCTTACCCCTAGCAGTGAGTCAGAAGAGGCTGCTGGACCAGGGCACTGCCCTTTGGGTGGCATATTAGAGGGTCTTCTTCAGTAGCTCCTGCCCATATAGGCCTACAGCTGCTAAAGTGACAAATAGCTGTGGCTCCAAAAGTGACTCTAACTCCATTCCTAATTAAATTCCTAACTTCATTTCTAACTTTAATCACCAAATATGATCCTAAATTTATTATAATCCCAAATCCTAACTTTAGGCCTCACTCTAACTCCTAATCCACCCCATCTTTACCCCAATTCTAACCTGGGCCTTTACCTTTGCTCTAACTCTCATCCATAATCCTCATTCTTTTTTTGGGGGTGGGGGATAACCTTTGGAACAACCCCCTACCTACTCCCACACACACACACACCATCTTTCCAGGCCCAGGCCTCATCTCTGCCTGCCCCTAGCACTCTTCTGAGCCTCAGACTCTTACTCCCCACACCTCCAAATTATAATGCTCTTCTAATTCCAATGGTAACCCAGGATTTTCCAAAATTAAGCCACTCACTCCCACAGTCACAAGTTTTACTATACCTTCGTTCCTTCTGATCTTATAGCTACTTAATATTTTTCCTTAAATTAGACCTTCAAAGAAGCTCATTGTAGAGTCATTCTGAGTAAGTATATTCCAGGAATGATTAACATTTCAAAAATGATTCTCCAAGCACCATTTATCTAATGATACAGAAGTATGAGTGGCACTTTAAAGCCCATGCATCACTAGTTCCCATCCAGGAGAGCAGCGGCCACCACACCAGGCCCGGTGGGGCTGCTGCACCCTCTGCTGGTAGAGTTTGGGAGAAGCTCTAGCTCAGTTCCACTTCCCTCCGGGTGGGGTCCACAATGTGCTCTCTGATTTGGTGTTACTACCCTGTTTCCCCAAAAATAAGACAATGTCATATTAATTTTGCTTCCAAAGATGCGCTAGGTCTTATTTTCAGGGGATGTCTTATTTTTCAATGAAGAAGAATACGGTACACATTTATTGTTAAATGAAAAATAAAGGAAATTTATTACCTGTATACGGTACGGCAGTATGGTAGTTGTCAACACAAACCAGACAAACTGTGAATCCTACAGTATCAAGAATTCACTCATTTATTCAATGACAATCATGTCATCATCTTCTGGAACATCATCATAACAATCCAATTCTTAAATTTCCTGATGAATTTCTTGTGACTCCATTTCTTTCAGAATCAGTGGACCAAATCTCTTATGTTTAGCAATAGCATTCTGAGACAGAGCCTTATTTTCAGGGGGATACCTTATGTTTCACACAGAAGGAAACCTGTAAGTAGGTCTTATTTTCAGATGATGTCTTATTTTTGGGGAAACACGATACCTGCCCCCTTTTTGAATAATAGTAATTCGACCTTAAATGACATCTAAGGTTATGGTCTTGCCCCATCCCCAGCAGTCCACCCTGTTCAGCAAGACATGCTGACATTGAGACATTCTAGGAATGAGCTTTCCTAGAACCATGGGATTCCATTATCCAACCAAAAGGTTGGTCATCAATGCATCCTTTGGATTGATTTATGACCAAAAGGGGGATGTCTGGATGAAAGGGGCCACATGCTAACCTGACAGGCTCAGGGAAGGCTTGCATAGCAGTCTTGCAGACTCAGAGACCTAAAGTAACCACAAAGGATGGTCTGAAATTGAACTTTAACTAAAAGCAGTTATGGTGGGTAGTCACCTCCTACGCCAGTATCTTCACTGACAAGGTCAACATCTACCTTAACTGAGCCTATCTGTCTTTTTGCATCTATGATAACATACCCTTTGAAATGTCTAGGTAACTTGGAACTTCTCTTTTTTCCAGACCCATTGGGGTACAAACTTATGTGCTGGGCACCAGAACAAATACCACAAATTCCTTCATTATCATGTTAATTGTTCCTGCACTCACCTAAGTATGTGCGCATCTTTTTAACTTTTTATCTAATCCCAGGGGTCCTTCCCCGTCACCACTATTTTGCTTTCTTCCACCTCTCTGGTCTATCACCAATGAATTTCATTAACCCACCTATGTCCCTCCTTTTATTGCAATGTATAAATACAAATGTAATCTTCCAATTTCTGGAGCATTATCTCAGTTGTTTGAGGTTCTGCTTCCCTGCATATGTTGACAGTTTGGCTGAAATTAACTTACAAAAATTCTTTACAGGTTTCAATGGTTTTTATGTTAACACTGAAAATAAAACTAAAGCGGGGAACATATACCCAGAATTACCAGCTGAGGTTAACTGAGGAGGAGATTTATATCAAGGAAGGACAGAAAACACTTGGAGACTGGAAGGAAGGATGAGGTTGCAAGAGGAGCTGATCCACTTCCAGGGGTGGCAGACTGAGAGTGAGGAGGGAGCTCTTGGCTATAGGAGGGTCGGTTCCTTCAGGAAATAGAGGCCCAGAACCCAGGCTCTGAACCACAGCCTGGAACACCAGAGCCGAGACTGGCAACCAATGAAACACCCAATGTGAAAGGAAGCAGAGCTGCTGGCCGCCACAATCTGGAGCTGGCAGACGAGCTGGTGGTAGAGAAAGCCTGTTTCATTTTCATAAAAAAAAAAACAACAACAACAACAACAAAACAGAGTACAGGAGCTTTCATTTGTAGCTACTCACCTGAGGCTTTGTTGCAGGAAGGGCAGAGTGGACTTGAAGTGCCTAAGAAGAGGCTGGGATGGGAAGTATTGCAGGAAGATGTGGAAAAGCAGCAGCCAGAAATCCTGCATGTGGTCATACACCCCCAAACCTAAATGGTCACTTTTCCTGAGAGGAACTAGCTGCTCCCAGTAGCCAAGAGGGCAGGAAAAGAAAAAACCCTCCCTACATGCTATAGCCTGCCCCACCCTCAGACCTTTCAGAAATAGACTTTTGAGTGATTAAGATTGACAGCTGGCTAGCAGGCAAAGGTGGACAAAAGGGGATCCCAGAGATCCTGGGGAAGTTTGCTGATCCAGCCTTGGGCCCCATGCTGCTAACAAAGCTGCTTTAGAGGGCAGGTTGGTCTCTCCTGTGTGCAGCCAAGTCCTATGGAGACAGATACAAACTGAAGATTCCTTGAAGCTTCAAGCAGGTTGCTGAAAGCCAAATGATGACAGTTTCTCATAGTGGTTAACACCCACGCACCTCACGGGAAGCTCAGAATTGGCAGACAGAGCAGTCAGCCCGTCATCAGAAGAGCAGGATGCAAAGGGAGCTTCCATGGGGCTCTACACTCTGCTGAAAGGAACCCACTTCACTTTCTTTTTTGCTTTTTCTCCCCCTTTTTTCTTTCTCTTTTTACTTTTTAAAAAATTTATCTTCTTTACCAATCTTCTTTTTTGACTTATTATTTTAGACTCTATTGTTTTGTTCATATATGTAACTTTCCTCTTCCTACTCAAAATGTTTTCTTTTCTTTTTCACCTGGTTTCTCATCTTTTTTCCTTTTCTTATATTAGGTTTATTTGCTTTCTCCTCTATTTTCCTTTTCTTTTCTTCCTCCTTTACTTTAAACTGTTTTCCTCCCCCTATTCCCTAACCCAATATTCTTATGTTATTTCAGCTCTGCAACTACTTATTCCTTTTTTCTCCTCTCCCCCCCTTTTTATGTTTTTTTGTTTGTTTGTTTTGTTTTCTCATATTTTTTTCTTTCTTTCTCTTCTTCTATCATTCCTGCTCTACTTTTTCTTTTCTAATTCTCTCTTCTCTGGTGGTTGCTTTTGTTGGTGCTGTAGGAATCTTGTGCATATTTTTGTATTGTTTCTTTTGTTTTGTGTTTTGCTATTGTATTTTGTTGTTTTAGCCAGTGCCTCCACAACAGCTTGCATGATGTGTGGTCAGTTCCAGAGTGAGCCACATAGTCCACCAGCCTGAGAGAAGATTCCATACATGAACAGTACAATAACATTAAAGACTCAACTACAACAGGAGGACACAAATAACTCAAGCAAGGGGCTTTCCTAGAGCACCCCGCTCAGATCTAAGAGACTGCACCACTAGGTCCCATAAAACACCTACTATATAAGACCAATCCACAAAGTCTGGGAGGCATAGCAGTTTGATCTAAAACATAAAAACAAATACAAAGGGACAACAAAGCTGGGGAGACTAAAAAACAGCCCCCAAATGAAAAAGGATGAATTACTAGAAAAGAACATAAATGAAATGGTGGCAAGCAATTTGTCAGATAAAGAATTCAAAATAGTGGTAATAGCCAAAACTGGTTTGGCTCAGTGGATAGAGTGTTGGTCCACAGACTGAAAGGCCCCAGGTTTGATTGCAGTCAAGGGTATGTACATTAGTTGTGGGCACTTCCCCAGTAGGGGGTGTGCAGGAGGCAGCTGGTTGATGTTTCTCTCTCATCAATGTTTCTAGTTCTCTATTCCTCTCTCCCTTCCTCTTTGTAAAAAAAATCAATAAAATATATTTTAAAAAACCATAAAAACAGCTCTCTCCTCCTGTCGCCCAACATGCCGAAGGGGAAGAAGGTGGCTCCGGCCCCTGCTGTCATGAAGAATCAGGAAGCCAAGAAGGTGGTCAACCCCCTGTTTAAGAAAAGGCCCAAGAACTTTAGCATTGGACAAGACATCCAGCCCAAAAGGGACATCATCCGCTTCGTCAAATGGCCCTGCTACATTTGGCTGCAGTGGCAAAGGGCTATTCTCTACAAGCGGCTCAAAGTGCTGCCTGCCATTAACCAGTTCTCCCAGGCCCTGGACCGCCAAACAACCACAGCTGCTGAAGCTGGCCCACATGTACAGGCCCGAGACCAAGCAAGAGAATAAGCAGCGGCTGCTGGCCGGGGCTGAGAAAAAAGCTGCCAGCAAAGGGGATGTTCCCACCAAGAGGCCTCCTGTCCTGTGAGCAGAGGTGAACATGATCACCACCTGGTGGAGAACAAGAAGGCGCAGCTGGTGGTGATAGCGCACCACGTGGACCCCATCGAGCTGGTGGTCTTCCTGCCCGCCCTGTGCTCAGGAAGATGGGGGTCCCCTACTGCATCATCAAGGGGAAGGCCAGGCTGGGCCGCCTCGCCCACAGGAAGACCTGCAACACTGTCGCTTTCACACAGGTTAACTCGGAAGACAAGGAGCTCTGGCTAAGCTGGTGGAGGCCATCTGGACCAACTACAACGACAGATACGATGAGATCCGCCGCCACTGGGGAGGCAACATGCTGGGTCCAAAGTCAGCATTGCCAAGCTGGAGAAGGCCAAGGCTAAGGAGCTGGCCACTAAGCTGGGCTAAGTGTGCACTGTTGAGTTTTCTGTACATAAAAGTAACAAAAATTCTCCTCAGCCAGCGTCTTGGAAAAACAAAAACAAAAACAAAAAAAACCCAAAACACATAAAACACACACAAAACAATGGTAATAAAGGTATTCAAACAACTCAGTGAAAACTACAAGCAATTTAATGAGTAATCTAAGGGACTAATATAATGAAAGCTAAAACAACATGAAAAGAGAGTTGAAAGAACAAATAAGAATCAATTGCAAATGAAAATTGACATAGCTGAAATAAAAACACCTTGGAAGGATTCAACAGTAGACTAGAATAAGCTGAGGACTGAATCAGCAAATTAGAAGACAAGATAGAAAAAACACCCATTCAGAGCAGCAAATGTAAATAAAATAAAATAAAATAAAAAAATTAAGTAGTAGGAGGAGAGTCTAAGGGAGCTTTGAGACAACATGAAATATAATAACATTCATATCATACAGGCAGCAGAAGCAGAAGAATATGAGAAAGAAATAGAGAACTTGTTTGAAGAAATAATGGCAGAAAATATCCCTAACCTCGTAAAGGAAAAGGCACTCAAGTTCTGGAAACACAGAGAGTCTCAATTAAGATGAACCCAAGACCTAGGTACATAATAGTTAAATTGTCAAACGTTAAAGATAAAGAAAGAATCTGAAAGGCTACAAGAGAGAGACAGAAAGTTACCTACAAGAGAGTTCCCATTAGATTGTCAGCTGATATCTCAATAGAAACACTACAGGCTAGAAGGGAGTGGCATGAAGTATACAAAGTAATGAAAACCAAGGGACTGAACCCAAGAATACTCTATCCAGCAAGGCTATCATTCAAAATTGGAGGTGAAATAAAAAGCTTCACAGACAAATAACAATTACAACAAAAAACCAACCAAAAAACCCACACACAACAAAAAATCCAGCACTGCAAGAAATGCTAAAAGGACTGATGTAAGAAGAAATAGAAAGAAAGAGAACACAGGCATAAAGAAAAAGAATGGCAACAAGTAAGTACCTATCAATAATAACCTTAAATGTAAATGGCTTAAATGCGCCAATCTAAAGATATAGGGTAGCTGAATTAATAAGAAAACATGATCCATATATATGCTGTCTCAAGAGACACACCTCAAAACTTACACAGTATGATAGTGAAAGTACCACAAAAATATTCTAGGCAAATGGAAATGAAAAAAAAAAAAAAAAGTTGGGGTGGCAGTAAGCATATCTGACCAAATAGACTTAAACATAAAGGCCATAACAGGAGACAATGAAGGTCACTTCATAATACTATAGGGATTGATACAACCAAAAGATCTGGTAAACATATATGTACCCAATACAGGAGTATCCAAATATATAATAATAATAATAATAATAATAATAATAGTAATAATAAAAAAACTTCTGGAGGATTTTAAGGGAAAGATGGACAATAATATAATCACATTTTATAGACAAAAAAATCAGCAAGGAAACAGTGAGCTTAAACAACAAAACAGATTAGATGTAATTAGTTGACAGCTACAGATATACATTCTTCTCAATTCCATATGGGACATTTTCAAAGTTAGATCATATGTTAGAATACAAACTAACTCTCCACAAATTCAAGAAGATTAAAATTATATCAAGCATCTTCTCAGATCACAGTGGAATGAAATTAGAAATCAACTACAGTAGAAACACCCCAAAACATTTAAACACATGGAGGCTAAATAGCATGCTATTAAACAATGAATGGGTTACCAAAGAGATCTAGGAATAAATAAATAAAAAACTTCCTGGAAACAAAGGAAAATGAACATATAACAATGCCAAATCTATGGGACACAGTGAAAGCAGTCCTAAGATGGAAGTTCATAGCATTACAGGCTTATCTTTAGAAATAAGAAAAAGCTCAAATAAACAATCTAATCCTATAACTTAACCAGAACAACACAACAAGAAAAGCCCAGAGTAACTAGAAGAAATGACATAATAAAGATCAGAGCAGAAATAAATGACATAGAGACTAAAAAGAAAACACAAAAGACCGATAAAACCAAGAACTGTTTCTTTAAAAAGATAAGCAAGATTGATTAATCTTTAGCCATTCATGGAGAAACAGAGAGGACCCAAATAAACAAAATGAGAAATGAAAGAGGTGAAGTAACAACTTACCCCACAGAAATATAAAGGATCATAAAAAAATATTATGAATAACTATATTACAACAAACTTAACAACCTGGACAAAAGGGACATATTCCTAGAAAAATACAATCAACCGGGAAGAATAAGAAAACCTAAATAGGCTAATAACTACTGAAGAAATTGAAGCATTAATCAAAAAACTCCCAGCAAACAAAAACCCTTGTCTGGACGCCTTCACAGGAGAATTTTACCAAACATTCAAAGAAGAATTAACATCTACCCTCCTCAAACTATTTAAAAAAAAAAATTCAAGAGGAAAGAACATTTTTAACCTCTTTTTACAAGGCTAGTTTTAACCTAATTGCAAATAAGACACTATAAAGAAAGTTACAGGCCAATATCCCTGATAAACATAGATGCTAAAATCCTCAACAAAATTCTAGCAAATCATGCCGAGACTGGTTTGGCTCAATGGATAGAGTGTCGGCTTGGGGACTGAAGGACCCGGGTTCGATTCCGGTCAAGGGCATGTGCCTTGGTTGCGGGCATATCCCCGGTGGGGGGTGTGCAAGAGGCAGCTGATCGATGACTCTCTCTCATCGATGTTTCTGACTATCTCTCTCCCTTCCTCTCTGTACAAAATCAATAAAATATATTTAAAAAAAAATTCTAGCAAATCAGATTAAAAAGATCATACACCATGATCAAATGGGATTTATTCTGGGGATGCAAGGCTGGTACAATATTCCCAAAACAATAACTGTGATACATCATATAAACCAATTGGAAGACAAAAATCACATGGTCCTGTCAATTGATGCAGAAAAAGTATTCAGCAAAATACAACACCGTTTTTGATGATAAAAAAAAAAAAAGTCTCAGCAAAGTGGCAATAGAGGGATCATACCTCAGTATAATAAAGACCATATATAACTAACCTACAGCCAACATCATACTCAATGGGCAAAAACTAAAACCATTTTCCCTAAAAAGAAAAATAAGACAGGATGTCTGCTTTCACTACTTCTACTCAACATAGCACTGGAAGTCCTAGCCATAATGATCAGGCAAGAAGAAGAAATAAAAGGCATCCAAATTGGAAAGGAAAAAGTAAAACTGTCATTATTCGCAGATGACATAATACTGTACATAGAAAATTCTAAAGACTCCACCAAAAAACTACTGGAGTTAATAAATAAATATGGCAACATAGCAGGATACTAAATTAACACCCAGAAATAGATGGCACTTTTATAGACCAATAACTAACTCTCAAAAAAAGTTACTAAAAAGAAACTAAAAAAAGAAACTAAAAAAAAAAAAAATCCCTTTTACCATTGCAACAAAATTTTTAAGATGCTTAAGTATAAACTTAACCAAGGAGGAAAACTGCAAGACATTGACAAAAGAGATAGAGGAAGATATAAACTAGTGGAAGACTATACCATGTTCATGGATTAGAAGAATAAACATCATTAAAACATTCATACTATTCAAAACAATCTATAGATTCAATGCCAAAATACCAAAGGCATATTTCATGGATCTAGAATAAACATTCCAAAAATTTATATAGAACCAAAAAAGATCCCAAATAGCTTAAGCAACTTTGATTAAAAAAAAGAGAGAGAGAGAGACAAAGTTGGAGGAATCACAATACCAGATATCAAGTTACACTACAAAACCACTGTACTCAAAACAACCTAGTACTGGCACAAGAACAGGCATATAGACCAATAGAATTGTAAAGAGAACCAAGAAATTGACCCAAGCCATTATGCTCAATTAATATTTGAAAAAGGAGGCAAGAGCATACAATGGAGTAACGACAGTCTCTTCAATAAATGGTATTTGGAAAATTGGACAGATACAAAAAAAAAAAAAAAAAAAGAAACCAGATCATTAATTTACATCATACAAAAGAATAAAGTAAAAATGAATAAAAGACTTAAATCTAAGTTGTGAAACCGTAAGGTACAACACCACAGACATCTGCCCAGCTGGTGTGGCTCAGTGCTTGAACATTAACCTATGAACCAGGAGTTCAATTCCTGGTCAGGGCACAATCCTGGGTTGCAGGCCCAATCCCCAGGTGTGCAGGAGGCAGCCAATCAATGATTATCTCTCATCAATGATGTTCTCTCTCTCTCTCCCTTCCTTTCTGAAATCATTGAAAATATATATATTTTTAAAAAATCTCAGATACCTCTCATAGCAATATGTTTACTGATATATCTCCTAAGGCAGTGGTCGGCAAGCTCATTAGTCAACGGAGCCAAATATCAACAGTACAATGATTGAAATTTCTTTTGAGAGCTAACATTTAAAAAATATATATTTTATTGATTTTTTGCAGAGAGGAAGAAAGAGGGATAGAGAACTAGAAACATCAATGAGAGAGAACCATCGATCAGCTGCTTCCTACACACCCCCTACTGGTGTGCAGGAACTTGGTGATGTGCCAGCAACCAAGGTACATGCCCTTGACTGGAATCGAACCCAGGACCCTTTAGTCTTTAGGCTGATGTTCTATCCATGGAACCAAACCGGTTTTGGCGAAAGCCAAAAATTTTAAACTTAAACTTCTTCTAATGCCACTTCTTCAAAACAGACTCATCCAGACAGTGGTATTTTGTGGAAGAGCCACACTCAGGGGACCAAAGAGCCGCATGTAGCTCTCAAGCCTCAGTTTGCAGACCATGGTCCTAAGGCAAAGAAAACTAGAGTGGAAATAAATGGACTGCATCAAAAATAATCAAGCTTTTGTGGAGCAAAAGAAATCATCTACAAAATAAAAAGAGAGCCCACTGCATGAGAACATATTTGCCAATGATGCATCTGATAAGGGGTTAATTTTAACAAAAGGAAGACAAACAATCCAATTTAAGAATGGGCAAAGGACCTAAACAGACACTTCTCCAAAGTGGACATAGAGAAGGACAAGAGACATATGAAAAATGCTCAGAGTCACTAATCATCTGAGGGATGCAAATTAAAATGTCAATGAGGTATCATTTCACACCTGTCAGAATGGTTATCATCAACAATCAACAAACAAGTGTTGGTGAGGATGTGAAGGAAAAGGAAACCTTGTGTACTGCTGGTGGGAATGCAGACTGGCTGCACCGGTCTGCATTCCCACCAGCAGTGCACAAGTATGGAGTTTCCTCAAATAGTATGGAGTTTCCTCAAAAAATTAAAAATGGAACTCCCATTTGACCCAGTGATCCCACTTCTAGGACTAAATCCCAAGAAACTAGAAACACCAATCAGAAAGAATGTATGCACCCCTATGTTCATAGCAGCACAATTTACAATAGCTAAGATCTGTTAATAGCCCAAGAGCCCATTAGAAGATGAGTGGATAAAAAGCTGTGGTACATTTACACCATAAAATACTGTGCAGCTGTAAAAAAAGAAGGATCTTTTACCTTTGAGACAGCATGGAGGGATCTGGAGAGTATCATGCTAAGTGAAATAAGTCAGTCAGAGAAACAGATATCACATGATCTCACTCATATGTGGATTCTAATGAACAAAATAAACTGATGAACAAAATAGATCCAGAGACATAGATCAATGGAACAGACTGATGAATTTCAGAGGTAAAGAGGCAGGTGAAGAGATATTAACCATGAAGTTATGATACACAGACAATAGTGTGGTAAAGGCTGGGGGAGGTATGTGTCGGATGAAGGGGGTCAATGAGAAAAAAAGGTGGGGACATCTATAATACTTTCAACAATAATGGTAAATTTAAAAAAAATGTGAGAAAGGATCCTCTTACTCTAGGTGTAGGGGTTGGGGCACTTGGGATGGGATAGAAATAAGTCTAAAGTCAGAGGAGGCAAGAGCAGGCAGGACCTGGGCCTGCTGGGAAGTTTGGGGTTCAGGATACCTCAGAGGTATAGAGCATTGTCAGGGTTGGGACCAGGGGTCAGAGTGAGTCTAGAGTAGGAATAAGAATGGGAGTGAGGCAGGCCAGTGCTGGATGAGGGGAGGGGTATGGCAGGAGCACAATAGGGCTAAGAATCAGATAGCAGCTAAATGTTATGCAGGTAGGAGAGCAAGGCTGGAGTTAAAGCAAAATTTTAAGCAAACTTTCTTGGATGTAAATGAGTCCTTGGGCCAGGAGGTGGCACTGGAGCAATGCTGAGCTGTCACAGGAAGTCTGCTTTCAGCTTCAGGTCTGTGTGTACCGGGGACACAGAGACAGCTACTGTTTAGCACTTCAAGGTGGACTCCCCTGGGTGTACCAGAGACAGAGACAGCTACTGTTTAGCACTTAAAGGTGGACTCCCTTGCTCTCCTTCATAGCTCCCTCAGACCCAGGGTCTGACAGATAACTCTTATTCTTCATCCCTCTGAAGACACGCCCATGTACTTTTTCTTGCTGAGCTCTAATATCTGTTTATTTTTCTAACTTATAAAGTAATAACACTGTCATCTAAGTTGTCTGTAAAATAAGATCTTACATTTGGTGATTCTCCACATATTAAAGAGCTATTTTCACAAACATTTTCTCACTGATTCACATAACATCCTATCAGGTAAAAATGACCTCTACCCTATTTTAGAGTTAGTGCTTGACGTACCAGACCAGTCATAGGCTACTAGGATCGAAACTCAGTCTTCTAACCTCAAGCCCCGCATAGCTGACATAGATAAACCAGACAGAGAATTCAAAACTGAAGCACCAGTGACATGTTTGTACTTGTTCTTAGAGACTAAAAACTTCAGGACTGGAATCTGAGTACCTGGGACAGGGAGATAAGGTTAAGGGTGGTGACAGTGACCAAATCTCATTACTTGGCTGCTAGCCCAGGCCAGGGGAGGGCTACCAATTACACTGCCTGTGCCACGGTAATCCCTACAGGTACTAATCTGACACTCAAGAAAGCAACGCATTAGTCACACATTGCTGATATCCTAGGTCTCCCCTATCTGCCAAAGGTTTTATCACCTGTGGCCCTGCACAGACAGGGGACAAGATTACCCAGCAGGAGATAGAGATGAAGTTTCAACAGACCTTGGTGTCTGGCTCCTAACTTCCTCTAGGGGTAATCCTTAAAGCTTAGTGCTTCATTCCCTCCACGTGGCTCTCTCCTTTGGAGATAATCATGGGCAGGTCCATGCTCATTTCCTCACTTGGAATAGGAGGTTGACATCTGTGAGGCCCTTAGCAGTAACGTGGGGCTTTCTGCTCTGCTAAGTCCTGAAAGGTCCCTACAAAGAACAGTTCCCTGAGGCCTGGAAGCACCCCCTTCACTAGGCAGGATACTGCTCAGTGACTTTAGGGTGGGCAGCATGAGGCTTTGAAGATTCAAGTCTTTATTAAAGGCTGTGAAAGTGGAGAGGGCAGACCAGACTTTATTATAAATGCTGTGACAAAATGCATCTGAAGGCAGCAGGCGTGTGGGGCTGGGCTTGTGCTAGGATAGTTGAGCACTGCCCAATCCAGGCCCAGGCTGCCTTGTCGCTGAAAAGATGATGGCATCACAGCCCACCCAAGGCCCCAGGCCCCTCCTCCCCACTTCCATCAGTCTGTTCCTGCCAAGCTTCAGAGGCAGCATCTACTTTAAATGCATGAGTTCACCGTTAGAACCAGTGCTCTTGCTGTTGTAGCAAGATTCTCTGTAATCCCTTAATGGATTTTCAGGGCACCCATAAGATGGAGCTGAGGAATGCGCACCCAGACTTCATATTTGTGAAAGCTGAGCCCATAGAAGCTGGGAGTCTGGGCTGCAACCAGTAACAAAAATCGAGGAACAGGGATGGGAAGGGGAAGGGACACTGGTTCTTCCCGTCAGAAGGGATGGATGGCTCTGACCTGCTAGTGTGCTGCTGCTTTCTGTTGTGCCCTTAGGCTGGGAACTTTAGCTTAGGGTTGGGGGCTAGGGTTCAAGAATGAAACCATCTACCACCTAGTGGCATGCTGCCCATTCTTAAAATCCCAGAATTGTGGGACCAACCAGGCCAATCAGCCATTTTATAGGTGGAGACAAGGGGACTCAGGAAGGGGCCTTATCCTAGGTCAGGACTTTCTCTGTTGCTCCACACTGCTTCTCCTTTGAAGTGCAGTCTACACACAATGGTCCTGAAACTCAGCCGGCATCTTTAGCAACACCTGGACAGCCTGCTAAACTATACAGCTTGCTGGGTGCCTGGAACTCTCATAGCTTGTCCAGTCCAATTCCAGAGGTCTGGGGAAGAGGCTATCAGGAGGAATCAGGTGTGGGCCTCTGGACACTGGGTCAGAGGACATTCCTTGGCAAGGCTGAGGCAGGCAGTGCAGAACTGTCCAAGGACCATGCTGAGAGGGGTCAGTAGCCTGAGGACCAAATGGGCAAAGTCTGGACTAAAGAGTGTTTGTGTGGCCAAGAGGAAGGAAGCAAGTGTGGTGGGAAGTGAAGACAGGCATGGCAAAGCAGCTTCTGTCTCTGCAGATATAAGGGAAGTGGACAGAGAGCCGGCCTGCAGGCAGGCAGAGGCTGAGAGAACCCAAGCTCATGAGGGGCAGTTTAGTTTGAAAGGCACTTTAAGTACCTGTGGGGCCAATGATGTTGTAGATGGTGTCCATGGGAGCTGTTGGTGGGTCCCCTAGGAAGTGGCTGGGAGCCAGGAAGGAACTATAGGGACAGAAAGTGGCAGGCTGGGTGGCTGGAGGCCACTTAGCTGGTGGCATGCTTTCTTTACTCAGGACCTCCCGGGATCTGGCTCCTGCAAGGGAGGGGCAAATAGCCTGATGAGTTAACTCACTAGTGCATTAAGGATCTGGTAGTTCCAGTTGGTGGCTGCTTGGCCTTAAAACTTTCTCTGTGGGATTTTTAGAGAAGGGGAATTTGATCCCAGAGAACAAGACCTAATTCTGGACCAAATGTCAGCTGAGTATTAGGGACCAGGTTCTGAGAATGCTGTGATGGAGAGAGCCTGGCTGAAGGACAACATCCCTCTGTTCCCAGAGGTTTCAAGTCAGTCATCCTCTCATCTCAGCTGTTCTGGGAAGCCCTTTGGGCCAACCTGTGGCTAGCAAGAGGGGTAGAGATGCCCTCTCCCCCTGCCAAGGCTGGCCCTTCCATCAGGCTCTTGAAGTAGGTACTCATAGCTTGCAAGTTGAGAGCAGGCTGTGCAGGGGGCGATGAGGTGGCCTGTAGATACCGGCTGTACTTCTTCAAGCCCTTCTGTGGGTCTCGACAATGTGCAGTCAGCAGCTCCGTAAAGCTCACGTTGTGGAGGGCCAGGAGGCGGGCCTCGGCCCAGGGCAGGACGGCTGCCTGCACCAGGGGTTGCAGGGATCCGAAGCACTGCAGGTTGCTGAAGGGGTAGAAATGCTGGGCCAGCTGGGGGCCCGGGGAGACCTCAAGGAGGCGGCACAGGTCACGCATGGTCAGCACAGTGGCCAGCGCACTGTGTTCACTCATGTTTCTTGCCAGGTAGGTCTTGGCCAAACTCTTGAGTTTGAAGCTGCTGGCCTGGGGCACTCGCTCCTGGATGAGGGGCAGAGTGGCCAGGAAGCCGGAGATGGCCTCCTGGAACTCCCATAGCTTGTCCATGTCCTCCAGGGCCCGGAAGAAGTTGGGGAGGCTGGGCCCCCACAGCTTATAGCAGGCCAGGATGGGACGGCACATGGAGCTCAGGAAGCGGAGGAAGTGCTGTAGCCCCACCTCCAGGGAGACAGCCTTGGAGTAGACGCTGAAAGCCTCTTGTTGGATGAGCACTCGAAATTTGCTTTCCTGGTTCACGGCTGCCAGCTGCCTAATCTTCTGGGCTGGGCAGGAGAGAAGGGCAGGATGAGGGCCTAGGGACATGGGAGGCACTGGGAGGGATTGGGGGACCTACAGGGTTGCTGACCTATTATCCAGATACCCCACCTTGGGGTCTTCTGTCAGGAACCAAACATCAGCCTCCAAACATTTGCAACTCTGCCCCAGGCTCTGAAGATTCAAGTCTTCTCTAATGGTTATTAGAAAACCCACTTTCTTGTCAATCTTGAGGTCACATTGAGGCAGGCAGAGGCTGGGAGAACCCCTGGGAGAACCCAAGGGGAAGCTGCTCACTACACACTGCAGATATGAGGGAAGTGGATAGAGAGCAGTTTTCAGGCAGGTAGAGGCTGGGAGGAGGTCTGCTGCCCTCAAATGCCTTGTTTACTGGCTGCGAGTCCAGCTCCCCCCTCCCCTGCTGCATGCCTTGGAGTTCACCAAACCCTTTAGACCCAGGTCCCTCACATTTCTCTTCTGTCAGCCTTACTCCACTACCCTGAGACCCCTCACAGTTTATACCTAGCTCTCTACTTCCTACCCTTGGTCTCCAGTCCCATCAATCACTTAGCTAAGGCTTCCAGCTAGTTGGAGCCCCGAGACATACAACATACCTGCCCAATCTACTGCACTCAAGAGTGTGGCCCAGAGCCACTTGTGAGGTCTGTGAGTGAATTCCCTATCCTGTGGGAACACCTTCCAGCTGCTTCTGGCTGGCTGAGCTAGCCCTAGGTTGAGAATGTGCCATAAGGCAGGGCCTCAGCAAATTCTATAGGAATTGAGGGGCTTCTGGGAGAGAGGTCATATCTCTCTATGACCTCAGCTCTGTTGGCCTCTCCATACAGTGTGTGTGTGTGTGTCCCCCCCCCCACCCCCCCCTACCCCCCATGGACTGGGTCTTATACCTAGAAATGTGCAATCACACAGCCCCATGCCTGGCTTGAATTGCTGGTCTTATAGCAGTGATTTTTTTTTTTTTTTTTTTTTTTTTTTTTTTTTTTTTTTTTTTTTTTTACAAACACTGGATTTCTGTTTAAAAGTGTCTTCCCAAGGCTCTCTATGGAAGAGAAGCACTCAGAGTTGTGAACTCCTGGAGGCGCTTGCCTCACACTTTCAGGCACTGATCAGGGCAGCTCTTCTTATTCAAACAACAGAGTGGGGCACCTGGGAGTCCCAGGGGAGATGCAGTACGCACTTGCTCCTCCCTCTCTGGCTGTGGTCACTGACCAGAGCTCAGGGCTCTCCTGGACCCTGCAGATAGTTCTGCCTGTACTTATCTTAGGGACCTAGAGACTAAGTTAGAAAGGGGTGGGAATGGTCATTAGTGAACCCACTTTCATTGTCAATCTTGAGGTCAAAGAAAACCAGGGGCCTGACTTCTGATTGGAGGTCTGTGAGGCTCTCATCCAGGACCCTGAGGGAGTTGGGGCCCTCCAGCTGAAGGTCACTGGACTCGCTGCTGCTGTCATCCAGCTCTCGGAAAGACTGTAACACAGAAAAACCAACAGGTCAGGGGTCCGGAGGATGAGAGGAAGCATATTGGTCATGGGAGCACGTTCTGGTAAGCAGGTATGTGTAGTCACATGTGTGTGAACATGAGCAAGTTGGCACGGCCTGGGCATCTGCATGCACATGACCAAGGGCATGTTATTGGGAAAGGGAAGGTGTGTCTAGGTGAGTACATATGCATGGAAATGTGTGTGTGTGATAGGACACAGATACACATGTGCATTTGTGCAAAGCTGTGTTTTAGCCAGTGTACATTAATGAGGGGTAAGAAGATGAGATCATGTGGGCAAGTGTGTGTATATCTGGGTATGCATAGGGAGGTGTGAATTTATGAACCTGTATTAACACAAGTGTGTGTGGGGTGTGGAGGCTTGGGAGTGAGGCTAGTGCTCTGTGGGTACAGCTCGAGGTGCCTGTACCTCACTTGATTTCTGAGAAGACTCAGAAGAAACACAAACTGGGGACAGGAGGAAAGAGTCTCATCTTGAATCTCAGATGTATTTCTGGAAATAGCCAGGAGACTGGCTTTTCTTGTTCCAAAAGCCCGCTGAGGTATCAGTGTCCTATGCAAAGGGGAGGGGAGGACTACTTAGCTTCTGGGACACACACCTAGGTGGACACTGAGAGCAGTTGATGCTGCCAGACAGAAACCAGGAGCTAGCTTCTCGGGGAAACCTGAGGCTCCTCTGGGGTGAGCACAGATTGGAAGGGGCGAGAACAGTTTGGAAGGTCTCTGGTGTAGGGGAAGGGCTCCAGCTTCCAAGGGGCTGTGGCTACAGAGGGAGAAGTATTCTCTCATAATTAGAGTTAATTGCTCATTATCTGCACAGCTGCCAAACCCAGATGTTGTCTTTGGTGGCCTACTCAAAACCTCCTGTGAATACCACCTATGGAGATCAGCCAGAGACAAGGAAAGGGCATGGCAAGTGTCTGGGGCTGGCTGCGGGAACTGCTGGGACCCAGGTCAGAACAAGCCTTGGTCTTTCCTTCTATGGACTGCCTCTGGCTGGTTGATAGAGTTGGCTTTACTTGGGACTATATGAGGCCTCCATGAACCCTGGCTGACTAATGAGAGACAATTAGCACATTCTCATAGGCCCTTCTACTCTCCAGGTGAAACATTTAATGAATAAAAATTGAACCAAAAGCTGTCATTATTAACCACAGCTAACATGTGCTAGATATTCCTAGGAGTGGCTGATTTTTACTTTTGTTTGTGTTTCATAGCCCTATCATCACCAAATTCTTTCATCAGTGATAGAAATATTCAATAGTAATCCATCCAGAGTTGGTTTTACTTAGAGAAGCCTGCGTCCCTGGCCTTTAGACAGAAGGCGCTAATAAGAGACTTTGTCAAATGCCTTGCATATCAGTATCCTTGAATCTGCCACATGTCCAAGGCTAATTTTACATAACTGGCTCTGACTCTGTCTCACTGTCCTGGTCTCCTCCCTCCCTCGTAAGGAGTCCTACAGAATCTTCCTTGAAGTTGATAGCTGATGGAGAGCTGACTCCCCTTGCTGTGTCCTTGCCTTAGCCTCAGCTCTCTTATGAAAGCTGAAGATCCATTCCCTTGGCTGAATCCTCTCTGCCACCCACTAACATAATACACTAGGCTTTCTCTTCTACCTTCTTTTGGCTCCAAACATGCAGTGGCCCTGAGGATTTCCACCTGCCTCCTTCATTCTGCAGTGTCTCTTCATACCTTAGAACCAGAATATTTCTTTAGGATATTCTCTTTCAAATTAAGCTCCCTGGAGAGCAGCACAACTCCATCTTTGGGTCTGCTCCCCCATCTTTATAGGGGGGGTCATTTATGATGGCCACCAGAACATTAATTTTAGAGCCTGCCATTGTCCTGGGTCATTTTCTTTTACAGTCATGGAACTGTCCTGTCTGAGTTTACAGAAAACCTTGCAGGCTGCTTTAATGAAAGGGCACCACCTCCTTTCTGCTGAGCTTGTCAATTAAGGAAAGCTGGATCTCCCAGCCCCAACTCTTTTTGCTCCCAGATTCCTCTTGCCCTTGGGGAATTACATGAAATATGGCTTCTCAGTGGGGCTGGTCTCATGGGAACACCTTCCACTGAACTCCAGCCATCTGTAAATTCAATTCCCTCATCCTGAGAAGTACCAGTACATTTAAAAAAGACTTTTCTAAAGGGCTATAGGCATATGGATGACCAGACACAAAACACCTTTTTTCCTCTGCTCACTAAGGAAAACCCTCATGTTCCACCCCCACACTTCAACCTATTCCACAATCAGCATAAATGAGTGGGTGGGGTAGCAGAAAGGGACAGTGTGTAAAAACAGAACCCAAGAAGCCAGAAAAGAATCTTTCCTTGGTAAAAGTACTTGGCTGGGAAAGGAATGGGGCAGAAATGAAGTGGGGACAGGTGAAAGTCCCTGTGTGAGGACTAAAAAGTGAGCAGTGGTAAAAACACTTTGAGGACCTAATGAGTGTGAGATGATGACAGCTGAAAGAGGGAAAGGAATTTTAAAGTGCTTCTATGTGTTATGAGTTGGATCCCTTTGAAAGATGCCAAGAGATGCAGGAATTTATTTTTTTTATTATACTTGGCTAATGGACTATGTTTCCTTGACCCAGTTCTCTTCTCCCCTTCTGGGTAGTATCCCAGGAGGTATTTATCACCTCCATTAAAAACTGATACATATACATCTTAGCAGCACTTCTCTGACAGGACTGTGCAACTGAGTCCCCCAACTCCTTCAGGGTTCTCTCCTTTGGCTCTGCATTAACAGCTTAACAGACTTTTGATGCCTAGCCTCCATCCCAGACCAATTCAATTAGGGTCTCTGTGGATGGGACCTAGGAATCTGTCATTGCAAAACCCCAAGTGATCAGTATCAGGCAGGATTGTGAAGGATTGTCTTAATTACTGATTTAAGTTCATGTTTGGTCATCAGCTAGATAGGAGTGAAACCCTTTGATATTCAGCATCGAGTAACCAGAAGATATCTGCATAGTACCTGACGTTATTGCTTATCAAGAGCCCCAGCTCCTTAGGGACTTTCTCAGCAGCCAAGCTTAAGCAACAGCAGGGATCAGTTTGGCAAGACATGTATAGCTAGCTTTTGCATATACAAAACCCCAGCTCTTTCTTGAAAAGTCTGGAAGGCAGAGAAACCAAAATGGCTGCATAAGTAAACACCTGAACTTGCTGCCTCACACAACCACTTCAAAACTACAACTAAAAGACAAAACGGACATCATCTAGAACCACAGGAAGGCTGGCTGAGTGGAAATTCTATAACTAGAAGGAAAGAAAAAAGCACATTGAGACTCAGAGCAGCTGCGGAAGTAAAGGCAGAGGAACGGAGGCGCACATGTGGAGAGGGCTGGCAACTGAGGGTGTGGCTGTCTTTTTCAAGTGGGAGGGAGACCCAAGCTCCCAAATGCTCTGAACTCCAGTTCCAGGTGAGACTCTGGGGATCCAGACTCATACGGGGAGAAACTGGACTGTCTAGCATCAGGCAGAACTCAAGGGCAGCTTTCTCTCAGAGGTGCTTACAGTGATTACCGTGGGACATTGAGACCCTGGGGCTTTTAGGGAAGGGCTGACAGTCAGCCATTGCTGTTTGCTCTGCCCTAAGACCCTGCCCCACCCAAGCTGTGCACAGAGGTTTTTGCATATGAATGGCTTGGTCCTTTGAAATCTAAACTTACCTAACAAACTGCAGCTGAGTCAGAGAGACCCAGAACATCCAAAAGAATGCCCAAGGCCCCACAGCAGCTTGCACTGCTTCACAGCTGGGCCTCATCTGGGCACCTCCAAAACCCAAACAAAGAAGAGGAATCTGCAGATTTCTCCACAGCTCCTGCTGGGTGGCTTCAGGCAGAGGCTAAATTAGCACCTCCTTGGTGATCCAAGAGCCAGTGTACCCACTGGTCAGAGTGGGACCATCCAGATTACAATTCCTCAGATCCATAAAGGACATACTCAGGGGGAAGACTCAGTGAGCACCAAAGCCCCACTGAAGCAAATATTGCCAAATAAGGGTGTCTCCAGCACAGAAGTTCTCCTATCATAGACGCAGCTGATCCTCACAGCCAATTGGCCTGAAGGTCAATTCCTCCCAGTGATACCAACAACAATCAAGGCTTAACTACAAGACTGTGCACACAGCCCACAAAGGGGCACACCAAGCATGTCTACCTCAGATAAGAGGAGGCTGAGCATCTGGGCCCTATAGGACACCAAGCACACAAAAACCACTCTATCAACTCAGGAAAGCAGCCAAAATGCAGAGATGAAGAAACAGGTCACAAATGAAAGAAATGGAAGAAAGCAAACTACTGGATATAGAGTTCAAAACCACAGTTATTAGGTTATTCAAGAATCTTCTAGAACTGCCAATAAATTTAGTGAGACCCTCAAGGATATGAAAAAGGACTAACTAAAAATTAAGCATACACTGACTGAAATCAAGAATAATATACAGAGACCCAACAGTAGACTAGAGGATTGCAAGAATTAAGTCAAAGATTTGATATATGAAGAAGCAAAAACAAACAAACACACACAACTGGAAAAGAAAAAAGAAAAATGAACTTAAAAATATGAAGATAGTGTGTAAGGAGCAACATCAGAATTATGGGGGTGCCAGTAAAAGAGAGCAAGATATTGAAACCTATTTGAAGAAATAATGACAGAAAACTTCCCCCACCTGTGAAAGAAATAGACTTACAAGTCCAGGAAGCACACAGAACCCCAAACAAAAGAAATCCAAAGAGAACTACACCAAGACACATCATAATTAAAATGCCAATGGCAAAAGACAAAGAGAGAATATTAAAAGAAGCAAGAGAAAAAGTTAGTTACCTACAAAGGAGTACCCATATAATTGTCAGCTGATTTCTCAATAGAAACTATGCAGGCCAGAATAGCAAGAACCTACAACCAAGATTACTCTACCCAGCAAAGCTATAATTCAGAATTGAAGGTCAGATAA